TAATGTAGAAAATTGTTTTTAGTTTATATTCGTATCAACGATGAGTGTTTTCATTTGGCATTCAGTTTGGTTTCACTATAATCAAAACGATTTAGAAAATATACGAATATATTGCTTTCTGTATGTTAATTTGTCCTGTTTTGAAATATTTCAAGATAAACTTTATACTTATTACGCTCTTCTTTCCTTTTGTTATCCCTGCTATCATTAATAGGTTTTCACTGTTTTTCATAATCATAACAAGTTAAAGCTGTGTTTCCTAATTCAAATAAGAAGAAATAACCAAAATAAAATTTAAGGTTTACAGAATGGTCGTTAAAAACTAATTTTGCACGAAATGTTACTCGTGCGTTTCGTACATGACAGTAGGTCCTTAGCTTTTCCCAAAGATTATGTATACCATTTCAACATTGGTGTAATCACCAGTGATTTAGAGGTCATATTGTCAAAATCCTTATAGAATTATTAGTGAAAATTTTAGCTTCTACTTAAATTTTGATGTGGGGATCTGAGTTGATGATAATTTCGAGTTTTTCAATGGAATACAATTTAACAATGCCAAAATCTTTTTTCCCTGCTTGTATAATTATTTTTGAGGTTTTATCAAGCATGGTATAAGAACAAACTACAATTTTTATTCCAGCTATTTTGCCAAAAACATAATATTCATATAATACCAAACGTATTTTTTTGTCTCCAACTGTTGCAGATAAGCTTCTTGAGAAACTTTATAAAACCGTGGGAAACCTCAATCGGCTATTTCTGTAATAAGTCTATAGGCTATAAGCGTTCCTCTTGATTGGCAATCTTGTTGTAAACATGCCACTTGGAGAAGCTCCAAAACAGTGTTATTTCGCCATGTGACATTTGTTCTTTGTATATGTAAAGCATTTCTTTAGACTGTGTATAACTAATTAAAATTCTTTATAAAAATAGAATAACAGATATTACTGCCTACTTAAGGTGTGAAGAAATTACGCAAGAAATACTTCAAATTTACATTCAATTGTTTAGTGTTTTAAAGCTCATATAACGTAAGAACTAACTGCTACACAAACATAAATTTACAGAACTACCTATTGATTTACATTGAATCGAATCAATCTTATTGTGATTACACAAACATAAGTTTACAGAATTACCTATTGACTTGCATTGAATCGAATCAATGTTATCAAGTTATTGTGATTACATGCTGCTATTGCTGATAGCATCTTGTCCTACTTATAAGTACTTCAGAGAATGACAGCTGAAACAAATCAGCATAAGGTACAAAGAGACCCTGACTGTCATTATTCATTTCTGTCAAACTGTTTGATTAATAAGAAATAAGAATGTTCACATTTCTTTCACGATCAATTTTCCTTTTCCACGCTATCCTGCATAGTATGCAGTTTCGTGTTTGCTACAAGATCAACAGCAGGAGCTCCATAACCACAACAAACCAAAAAAATATAAAGAAAATCAAACGTTATTTTAACAATGGCGAACTTTCATCGGGATATACCTTACGAATTATGAGAAAAATAAGAAACCCGCTTCCTGTACTATTAAAATACATACAACAAGGAAACCGATATAAAAGAATCAAGATTGAATTTCTTCAGTTAATCAATTTAACAATAAACATACTCAGTTAAATTCTCGATTTTTAAATTAATCTTTATGCTAAAACTACATCTTTTACATCTTCCCTGGAACGGAATATAATTAGTATATCTTGACCATAATTAAGGAATCCAAAACGTTGCTAAGAATGCTTAAAGTTATAAAAATTTAATATCTACAATACAAAAAGCATATAGATGAGAAATTACCCAACAATTCATAAAAAACTCACAACTATACCGATGAATATAAGATAGTATACTTAATGCAATATCTTATTAATACGCAACCTTAAAATTTCATTATTTCCCTGGGTAAAATATAGAAAACAACTTATCAAAACTGAACAGCTACCTTTTAAGTATTCTTTATGATCATTAAACGATCAACTATCTTGCAACAATTCTATTTAAGTTTTAATCTGTATAATAGCACCTAGATTTCCCATTATTGAATAATGAAAACATACTGAGACATAGGTAATAGGTAGTACAGAAGCATTTTTAAAGTAATAGGTTTTTCTGCAGTTGTCTAATAAAATGTAGTTATAAATTTACTCTAGATTATATCTAAAAAGACTGAAACATACAAAAATTGAATACTAGAGAAAAATATGAAGACTGATATCAAGCACAGTTTAACAAATCATGTACTACAGTTTAACAAATCATGTACCACAGTTTAACAAATCATGTACTACAGTTTAACAAATCATGTACTACAGTTTATCAAATCATGTACTACAGTTTAACAAATCATGTACAACAGTTTAACAAATCATGTACCACAGTTTAACAAGTCATGTACCACAGTTAAAAAGTCATGTACAACAGTTTAACAAATCATGTACCACAGTTTAACAAATCATGTACCACAGTTTAACAAGTCATGTACCACAGTTTAACAAATCATGTACCACAGTTTAACAAAGTTAAACTGTGGTACATGATTTGTTAAACTGTGGTACATGATTTGTTAAACTGTTGTACATGATTTGTTAAACTGTGGTACATGATTTTTTAAACTGTTGTACATGACTTTTTAACTGTGGTACATGAAAGTCATGTACAACAGTTTAACAAATCATGTACCACAGGAAGAAATAAAACAGTGTATGTATGATAAACAAAATACACTAAAATTGACATTTTTATAGCCTTTTGATTTTACTATTTTAAGGCAACTTAACAATAAAGCAGTTGGAAATCAACCATGTTTTACCTTTGCATAACTAGAATAAACATATATTTATTGGAGTATCTTCAGGTATTTTTTATTTCGTATAGATATCCTGCAATTAGCCAGCATTCTTGTGTAAAGAATGTTGATATTTCTAAGTCTTGCTTCAATCTCGCCTCGCTCACGTTACATACAACACTGAGTTTTTCATAGAACTTATATATACTTCACCATGCTTCCCTATTTCCCTGGGGCACGAATCATGCCCATGTGAATAAGTGGTACATAGGTTTGTAGAATTTAGTATGAACTGAAAGTTAATCTCTTCTTGGGTATTAAGGTATGATCATTGACGCAATTAATCTACATTGTTGAATGCTTCATAACAGTGTGAATACATACAATCTGTTTTTCCTTTGTTAGATGAAGACGTTTACCTCTTCTCTTCTCCCGCTAAAAGATTGCTCTGATACGACTTTATATTCCAAGTATACATAGGAAAAACACCAGCTAGTTTTTATTCTCATCTGGATCTTTCATATATTTTTTTTCTTTTTACACTTATAATATTTACCTGTTGTAACCAGTTTTGTTTTTTCAGGAACTTCATAATAACTCGAAACTTATCAAATGTTAAGTTGAATATCATCCTATTTTTGCCTTTTGATATATAGAATCCTGCAGGAGTATAAATAAACGCATCTTTCCATTTCTATGCATATTATAGAACTAGGGTTTCCAGAATACAGTTTGGTATCCTTATTTTCAACGTGACTGGAATAACATTTTATAGAACTAGGGTTTCCAGAACGCAGTCTGGTATCCTTATTTTCAACGTGACTGGAATAACATTTTATAGAACTAGGGTTTCCAGAACGCAGTCTGGTATCCTTATTTTCAACGTGACTGGAATAACATTTTATAGAACTAGGGTTTCCAGAATGCAGTCTGGTATCCTTATTTTCAACGTGACTGGAATATATACTCCGGACGATTTCTCAAATATACCCAATAAAGTATTATGGAGTTCTCACCGGAGGCAATTTCTCGTTTATACATAAGACTATATGTACACGTAGAAGTATATATCCTAAACTTTTGATAAAAATCAGGCCTATGTAATGCAGTCCAATATTTCAGTAATTTATTCTAACCTGAGGTTCTTCAAACATTACGCACGGTTTAGTTGCTACTACTTGGACAAAAATAATGACCCGTGTAACATTACACAACAATATAGATCATTGTTACTAAGATTTTCTCACTTATCAATCACAGTTATTATATTAATTGTCCTTGTTATCTTTGAAGTAGCCTGTTTAATATAAACAAAATGATAAGTAGAACTGTAAGTACATAGGAAGCTAACTACCTCGGTACAGTCAACAATGTACCGTATTGAAATGATTATAAACTATATTGTAAAAAAGGGGCTTTTTCAAAGAGCTGTTGCAGTTTAAAAAATGTTGAATGTCGAAGGAAGCTTAACTCAATCTACTTGTTTACCTTTGACGCTATTCATCCGCTTTAGGCGTACCAGACCCTGTGGCCAACTGTTCTGTTTTTAATCAAACGGATCACACTTTTCGAGTTCAATGCAAGCCAGGTTATGACGGTGGCCTCCGACAACATTTTATTATGGAAGTGCATGATACCGCTTATCAACGGCTCCGAGCCAATATGACTTCACCAATACCAATTTTCCTTGCTCGTAATCTTCCTTCCTCTGCAAGCTTTCTGGTAGTGGTGTATTCTGTGAACTCCAAAGGAAGAAGTCAGACTAAGGTACTCACAGCCAAAACTATTCTTAACCCAGAGACTCAAGCCCATAACGGTAAGATGATGAGTACAGAGTTGAATAAATACTACTATCCAAAGATAAAACCGGAAACATATGTAAAACTATCAATGTGTTTGAAATATCAATCTCTCTATCCTACATATATATAAATGTGAGTATTTGTGTAGAGAGAGAGATATATTCAAAGTAATTTTCTAACATATACATAAATACATTTATTTAAGTACAATTCACTGCTTTGCAATTCTAGTTAAAACTGATTTTCCAGATAATGATATTCTAGAGGATGGCGTATACATTATTGATAACAAGAATGGTTTAATATTTACAACATCTGTTCTAATTTTTACAAATATCAATATATATAAATTTCTTTCATTACTTCTTTTATATTATACATTTATTTATCTTAGTATCTGTAGTAGTCATACTGCAAAAAAAAGCAAGAATGGATTAATTTTAGTTTTAATTTCTGTTTTGTTTTAATGCGAAAATGTATTTGATGAAAATTCAAAATAGCTATATTAATTGACCCTATTTATAGAAGCAAGAAGTTATATAAAATCTAGTAAAAAAAGTAAAATCTGATATGGCCTATCAAGATCGTGTGGTGAGTAGCAAGTAGAACCCAATTAGAATTTCAACGATTGTAAGACGTTTATGAACTTATTAAAGCTGGCCTCGTAAAACGCTATCAAATTCTCCGATCTTTCATTAAGTCTCTCTGGGTTTACTGTGTTATAAGTGTCACAAATAGTGTCACACAAATGCATGGCTATACGGAAATGCTGTTATGAGATATGTTTAAAGGTATTCAGTAACGTGTCTCGTTTCTATAGTTAAAGTGCTTACTTTAAGGTGACTTTAATTGGTGTCCATCTTCTGACCACAAGCAAGTATTTCTAAACCAGTGGAAATATACTGCATCATAAAAACTTTTTCTAGTACATCTGTTTCTTGTTTCTATAATTTATGTGCTTCAGAAACCTGTCTTCTTCCGTCAGTGGCTCAGCGCTAAGTCTGAGGGCTTATGACGTTAATAATCGGGTTTCGATATCCGTGGTTGGCAGAGCACAGATAGCCTATTAGGGCTTGACAGCAAACAAGCCCAAACAAAATTAAAAAACTTTGATACTTGGATATAAGTTAGTATAATTATATAAAGTATGTAATATTAGTGTTTGTGTATGTCCGTTTTGGAGAATAAATAGAATAGGGAGCAAAAAGCTAAAGAAGCGTAAGAAATATTCAATGCTCATTCTACTATAAGTAGTTATAAAAATGTCAACTTCTTATGACAGTTAAACACACACTTTAATTTTAGATAAACTGTTTTTTGTTAGAAAACAGCAAAGGGAAGCTTTTCTTTAGTCCTGTCTTGGTGGTGTTGATTTCCCTGGCGGTTGGACTAATCATCATAGTCATAATAGTCGTTCTGGTCGTCAGATGTAGACAGAGAAAAGGTAAACTCTTAATGTGATATTATATTTTCTAAGTTATATAACAATCTCAGTTTTAAAATTTATAGTCTGATATATTTTATTAATTTCCTTTTACCTGAGATAGAAAACTTCTTTTCCCGTTCATTGTGTAATATTTATTTCTCCTCCTAACGCTTGTTTGTTTCATTGTTGGGTTTCGCGCAAAGATAGAAAGTGTCGGACACGAGCGAAATTAGCTATTCGACTCAACCCATACCCAGCTCTTTGGCTACTCTTGTCAGAATGGATAGTGGAATTTGACCGTCATTCTTATAACGTCTGCAGTGAACTATCTGTCTTTATTAATTTTTATCTTATTTTGCATTTAGTAAAAGTAGAGACATATTCTTTAAATAAAACTGAAGAAAAGTAAATACTTCCTGAGACGTTTTAGTTAATGTTAATTGGTTCGTAATATTCGCAATATTCACAATTTTGAATAATCTAGAAATATAAAACCTTGAAACTTCGTTTTCTAAGCGTATTTTAGATTTGAGCTTCAGTGGTATGTATAATGCCACATTTGGTTTGAGCATACCTTAAAACTGTTACTGAGCTATCGAAAAGGTTATTTAATTGCATTTACTTTCGAGACTCCACTTTCTTGTAAAGTCTCTTAGTATTTTCAGAGTTGTCGCTTGAAGCAGAACTGTTCAAATTATGATTGTTTTTTCTTTCTCTCTGTAAGCAACAAGTTTCAGCGAAATTTAAATTAGAAAAATTCATATATCGTTTCAGCATTTTTTATCAATAATTACTACCTAAATAAAACCACTCGTTTGGTTTTTTAAACAGTTTATTATTGATAAAATACAGACTACATCGTTTTCATTGAGCCTCGTTTCAGTTTTTATTATTTTGTGAAGCCTATCAGTGAAACAAGAACTGTAAATATTTCTTAATTATTTACACAACACAAAATAAAAATATTACAAAGAGCTAATGTATAAACTTCGTAAAATACGTATGCATAATACTTATTAATATTTGATTTAAGTAGCTTGTTTGTTTATTGAATTTCGTGCAAAGCTACTCGAGGGCTATCAGCACTAGTCGTCCATGATTTTTACATGATAGATTAAAGGGAAGGCAGCTGGACAACAACACCCACCGCCAAACTCTTTACCTACTCTTTATCAACAAACAGTGGTATTACCCGTCACATTGTAACGCCGTATGGTATTTGAGTAATGTAAATGGGAATTACGAAAGCAAATAGTGAGAATATGCAAATAAAAATACATTTGGTAAAGTCTTAATTCTTCTTTGTGAACATAAGTCGGTAACAGTTTCATTAGTAATTGTTATCTTTTTAAAATATTCAATTTTGTTTTATTTTTTTAGCTTAGTACAGACTTTACCTTAAAATAGTAGACTACTATTTCCGCTAGTTACATCTTGTTTGGTTTCAATTATTTGGAATGATGGATGAATAAATATATTATGATAGTATTATTTTCTCAGTTATGTAGTTTCGCTAAATTTCAGAAACACAACTGATTTCAAGATATAATGTTTCATAGTGTTTTACCATTGTATGAATTAAAAATTCCAACTTAGTCTAATAATGAAAGCATTTATAAGTGTGTTGATTTGATGTAAATATACGAAAAATATGTATTTTTTTATGATAGAAAAGTGGAGAATATTTTTGATAATTGAAAATTCTCTAAGTAAATCATCAAAATTCGTAGAGATCAGTTAGAAAATATTATCAAAGACAACTAATAATAATCTCTGCAGTGAAAGAGGCTCAGTAATAATCTCTGCAGTGAAAGAGGCTCAGGTTCGACTTAAGTTCGTAACAGTCATTTTAATGCACTTATCTTACCAGATATTGATTGATTAAAAGAAAAAGTAGAAAAAAGAATGTTAATTTGGCTTTACATCTATCTCTCATTTCATATGACATACGTAAATATATGTATACATACATAAATACGTTAGTTTCTTACAAGGAGTTCTATCAATAGATGTTTTTCTTATGATAAAATGTTAAGTTTTAAAGAAAGCGCACCAATAAACTAGCGGAACATTATTATTGAGCAGAAACTAATAACTGATGTATTATTTACATGTATATTAGAATTTAATGATAATTATTCAAGTATATCCAAATTTTAACAAATAACCTATTCCGTTTCAGCTAACTATCATTACTTTATAATTGTTGCCACGAGGTAGCAGATAGTAAGTGCATTTCCAATTAACATTGTCGCAAAACATGAGACGAATTAGAATATTCATCTTTGCAAGTTATCACCTGCATTTAAATACACTTTAACAAATCAAGTGTTTACATCAATTGTTTTTCGGTAATTGGGTATCTGAAACAAATTAGTTTTATGTTATATGAAAATAGAACTATTTATAATATAGAGCTGAAATGTCCACCTCATCAGGTTTTTTTAGTAACATAGAGCTGAAGCATCCACCTCAACAGTTTTTATATCGTAGACCTGAAGCATCCACCTCAACAGTTTTTTATATAATATAGAGCTGATGTATCCACCTCAACAGTTTTTATATCGTAGACCTGAAGCATCCACCTCAACAGTTTTTATAACATAGAGCTGAAATGTCCACCTCAACAGGTTTTTTAGTAACATAGAACTGAAGCATCCACCTCAACAGTTTTTATATAATATAGAACTGATGCATCCACCTCAACAGTTTTTATATCATAGAGCTGAAGTATTCACCTCAACAGTTTTAATAATTTTGAGCTGAAGTATCCACATCAACAGTTTTTAATAATTTTGAGCTGAAGTATCCACCTCAACAGTTTTTTTATATAATATAGAAATGATGTATCCACCTGAACAGTTTTTATAACATAGAGCTGAAGCATCCACCTCAACAGTGTTTAATAATTTTGAGCTGAAGTATCCACATCAACAGTTTTTAATAATTTTGAGCTGAAGTATCCACCTCAACAGTTTTTTATATAATATAGAGCTGATGTATCCACCTTAACATTTTTTATATCGTATAGCTGAAGTATCCACTTCAACAGTTTTTTATATAATATAGAGCTGAAGTATTCACCTCAACAGTTTTTATAACATAGAGCTGAAGCATCCACCTCAACAGTTTTTAATAATTTTGAGCTGAAGTATCCTCAACAGTTTTTATATAATATAGAGCTGATGTATCCACCTTAACAGTTTTTATAGCATAGAGCTGAAGCCTCCGCATTAACAATTGTGTAATAATATAGAGCTGAAGCATTCGTCTCAACAGTTTTCGTAACATAAGGCTAAAACATCTGCCATAGCAGTTTTTAATAATATAAAGCTAAATAATTATTTTTTTTTAGTTGTAAATCATCTGATTACTTTCATGGATACTATTATGCCTACTACTTGCTTCCACTATGTTATATATTGTTATTTAGGGCCAAAGAAGTAAATTATGACCGTAAATTCATATAAGTAAGTTTCAGAGTAATTAAATAATTTTCTTGTGGCTAAACTTTTGCGTGAATAGTTTATTGCGTTTTTTAGCATTTGAACTGATCGTGAATTCAAGCAATTTCAACAGTTAGACAGCCTAAAGTGGTCGCATCATTTTGCGTTTCGGTTAAAACATGAAACTTGCGCCGATTAGGAATAAACACACGGACGAACTTATTCATGTACATTGTACTTCTACATTGAGAAGAAAAATAGTAAATAGGAAAAAAACATAACTGTAAAAATATTTTATAAAACTGATTTAAGTGCTGGAAAAGTCCCATCATTGAAACGTCATCGGGGACAGAAGAAAACTCCAACTATTATTGTTTGTTTTTTGAATTTCGCGCAAAGCTACACGAGGGCTATCTGCGCTAGCCGTTCCTAATTTAGCAGTGT